CCACATGGAGCTTAAAAGAGAGATGAGTCGACCAAGATACCCTATATTTATATTTATATGTATTAGTACCTACATTGAATCCGAAGTACATTAGGTGCTCTCTCACTTACATGATCTTAAAAATGTATATTTATATACCGTATATATTTTCAGTCTTTACATTAATCACTTTTAAAATACAAGAATCAAGAAATTAAACATAACAAACCTTATCAGCTATAGCCATTTTTAAATTAAAGATCTTTTGCTTATTACCAGTAATTAAAAAAAAATAATTTAAATAATCTGAGCGCACTGGTTTTACATATTTGGACCAGATGTGAAATAATTCTGTTGTGTGAGTTTTAACTGAATACATGTTTCCATAAAATAAATAGTGTGCATTATTTTAATCCACTATTTTGAACCAGTTTCTAACAAACGTCTATTTACTCGCAACAGAATTATCTGTAATAATTTCCAATCTTTGCTCCATCTATCAAAAAATATTCTCCATAAACAGTGAATTACTTTCAACAGTATTAATCCCAAACATGTTTGTTTGTGTATTTCTTTCCATCAAAAAAGAAAAGCTTGAAAAAAACTTGATATTTTTAAGGTAAATTATTATTATTATTTTAAATAGATCTTGATTAAAAATATTGATGTTATTGATTGGCTGGTGCCATCAACTTTACTGCGTATCCTCGTCAGTCCTGTTCTCTTTGTCTCAGAGTTTTGGTTCTTTTGGGCGTCAGCAGTTTTGTGTTTTTGAGCCACGACAAAATGAAAACTTTGAGTTTTATCTGCCAGAAACCTGAAGAGGAGGTTTCAAGCAGATAAAACTCAACAGATTTTTTTAGTCTCATGCATAAACTAACCAAATATTTAAAAACAAAATGTGCATAAAAAGCTTTTATTTACCTTATTAATGCTATATTGTGTATTTATAGAAACATAATTTGTAGTCAGTTACATATTACTGAAGCTTTGATATCAAGTTTTATTGGTTATATTTACTATTTTCAGTTAAGTTTCGGCTTACTTGTTTTCTCCGTTTGAGTAAAGTCAGAATCAAATTCTCATTCAACTTTTAAAAACACAGAATCAGAACCTTAAACATTTATTATTACAACCAGTGTTTGTTTTATGACAGAAACCACAGCTAACCATGATGTCCACGTGTCTCCTGCAGATGTCCAGCAGCTCTTGGAGGTTAAAGAAGAAGAGGTTCTTCATCTGTGGAGCTCCAGTCTGGACCAGCAGGACCCAGAACTCCTCATCATAAAGCAGGAAGAGGAAGAGCAGCTTCCTGTGAAGGGTGAAGATGAGAAACCTCAGTTCATCCAGCTTCATCAGATCAAAACTGAAGACAACAGAGAGACAGAACGTCCAAGCAGCAGCTCAGCTGAACAGATGAAAACAGAACCTGATGGAGAGGACTGTGGAGGACCAGAACCAGACAGGAACCAGGATCCAAATGCAGAGGAAAAGGCTTCAGACTCTTCAGAGACTGAAAACAGTGATGAATATGATGAGGATGAAAATAATTCAGGTTCTGGATCGATGGAAACCAGAACACCAGGATCAGGAGTAGAAAGCGATGTGGGATGGAAGAGTGACATGAAATCCTTCAGCTGCTCTGAGCGTTGTAAACAGTTTGTCAACAAGTGGTCTCTTCAGAAACGCGTGACTTCTCATTCAGCTGAGAGCACTTCCATTTTGGTTGATAAGAAATGTTCTGGAAAGATTAACGTTTTAAATTCACAAGCTGTCAAAGCAAAGAAGAAACCACTCACTTGTGACGTTTGTGGTAAAACATTTGACTATCGCTGTCGTTTTAAACGCCACATGAGCGCCCACACTGGACACAAACCGTTTGCCTGTGATGACTGTGGTAAAACATTTTTCTATGAAAGTCGTCTCAAACGCCACATGAGCATCCACACGGGAGATAAATTAATTGCTTGTGATAAATGTGGTGAAACTTTTAGATTTCAATATTATTTACAAAATCTCACGAGACGCCATCCAGGAGCAAAACCGTTCGCCTGTGATGATTGTGATAAAACGTTTAAATTTCCACATGAACTTAAATATCATATGATCCAGCACACGGGGGAGAAGCATTTTTATTGTAATAAATGTAGAAAAGCACTTGATTTACCTGTTGTTAATCCCCACTTGGGACTCCAGCCATCGGAGAAACCGTTTCAGTGTGAGGTGTGCCATAAGAAAATAAGCACAAAGGGAAATCTAAAGCAACACATTTCACTTCATACACGAGAAAACACGTTTGCTTGAGGTGGTTCAGACTCCGATGCACACATGAAGGGTCATTCAGGAGTGAAACCTCTGGTATCTTCACATTGCTCACAAAAGAAGCCCAAATCTGGGGGGTCTGCTCAAATGTGACACATACCAGATTTTTAATGACGGTCTGGACGTCAGATTTTTTTCCAATCAGACCCAGCTCTTGTTCAGATGTGATACTGAGTCAGATCTATATCTGATGGTTTTCAAGCTCAGAACTCCACACGTCTTCAGCTGCAGAACAAGTTCAGTTGTTTTGTCTTTTATTAAACTTTTTAGTTTTTTTTATGTCCTAGATAACTGAGACTGAATTTCTAATGGTGGTGAACAAATGTGTTGGATTGTATCGATACTAGCAGGATGGAACTGAGACTCGAGTTTGTTTCTACTTTCAGTACGTCCCGTTCCTCAAGTGTGCGTCTGCACCTTAGTAGACCGGAGAAGAGGAGATCAAATGTAAACTGCACAAAACAATCACGTCAGATTTTAAATGTCTGATGGCACAAAATCATCTGAATTGATCTGCACGTCCACGTCTCCTGCGGGTCTCTTCAGGGCCGTGGACGGTTCAAACTGTAGTCTGACGGAGGTCACGTTCAAATTCCAACCTGAAGACCACACAAAAAACTGATCTGAGCAAAGATTTGTCTGCAGTGATTGTGGTGGGAGAATTTCTCTAGAAAGAAATGAGTGCCAACATGTTACACCACACAAAAGAGGCCTTTTGCCTTTAATAAGTGCAATAAATAATATAAGAATAATGTAATAAGTGCAATAA